GGGTTGGGACAAACTGTTGGCGATAGTCGGCGTGCAACCGAGGGTGGCTCAGGCCTGCTTGAAGTGGTTCAACTCGGAACATGGGTACACAGATGCAGAACGTGGGTTACTGAAAAGTGTTTTTAAAGGGATATCAAGTAAACTATGTGAAGAGTACTTTACCAGTCTGAGTGACACCAGGTGTTGTCCCAAGCGTGTGGTGTAACAGTTGCACCTATATATCCCCCCATGTCGGTTAGTGATGAGGAACATATATGTTGTAAGTAGGATATTTAAAGAAGATGTCGGGGAATGTCGAATGGTGGATAAGTGTAGTTGTTCTGGTGGCAATGGCCAACATAATACTTTGTTGTGCCCCCCGGGTAACCTGAAGGAGTGTATCGATTGGATTCTGAGGTTAACGGGGAAGGATAAGGTTGGTGGTGGTAATGGCGATAATGGTAAGAAACTTGGAGAGGAGGTTGCGGGGTTACTCAAAAAGGATAAAGCTGTGCTTGAAACAGTAACAACATCGTTGAAAAATGGAAGTGGTTCTAATTTGATCACCGAATTGGCCGATAACTTGAAAAAGTTCATTGGTTATGAGAATGGTGGTGGTACTGGTAAATTGAACGGCAATGGTATTGGTAACAAAGGTGCTGGTGCTAAAGGTACTGAGAAGTACACCTCCTCCTATAAAGATTCTGCCACCTGGGATAAAGCTAAAGAAACTGACAAAGATGGTAAACTTTGCGCTGCAATCTTCCTCGGCACTATCCCCGTAATTTTTTCCGGTCTAAGTTATTTGTATTGGCAATGTAATGAAGGTAATGGTAGTGGTGATCGTTGGTCCACTCAATATATCCACGACACTTCCAACGCCCTTGGCATCTATTTCGTCTGTTGTGGTTATGACTTAACCAAACTCAATCAGAAAAAAGCTGAAGACGTTGGCACAACTTGTTTCCAACAATTCACTGAATTCAATAACGGCACCAATGCATCCAACAATAACTACCCCGAGTACATCAAAGAAGTACTAACCAAAACATCACCAACCTCCCACCCCCTCTCCAGTCTCTACCTCGCATCACAATATTATTTTCAATCGCAATTCAACGATGGCACCCGTGTTCCAACCACCATAAGGGAAATGCTCTATTGGTTAATGGCCCTGCCATATAGTAGTTGTTTCCAGCTAGCACCTGCAACTATTCAACAGGGTATTACGAAACATGGTAGTGATAGTATACCATTCGATGATGATGAGAATATCACTTTAGACAGTGACACTGACCCTTTCGATTGTTATATGTCAACCACTTGCCATTACGCCGCTGTGGTCCTATCCACTATACAAGGGAAATTGTGTACACCAAAGACAACATCCACGACGACAACTGACACCTCTCTTGCCAAACCACAATTGAACCTCCACAACATCTATTCCAATTCCCACTTCAAATTCAATTACCCAGACAACCCATCCGATTGGTTCAATAAGCTTTGGGATGTGGTGTATCATTTATTGTCTCAATTATATTTCCTTAAAGGGCAATGTAGAACATGTGTAGGCTCAGGTTGCGGTTGGTTATGGTGTAAATACGGTGATGGTATCAACTCACATATGACGAAGGAGGTGGAATCCTGGATTTGCACTGCAAATCCGTGTAATGGCAATCACACCTCTGGTTCCACTTGCAAAAGTTGCCATACTGACCACCCCAAAAAATGTGGCCAATCCGATAACCACTCCCCCCTCCAAGCTTTTCTATGTGATCTCCTAACACCTTTTAAATGTCCAAAATCCGGTGAAACCAATAAATATCCATCGTACACCGAGCATATTTCCCATCGCAATTTCAATCAATATTGCTCAGTACCAATGGGATTCAACAAAGACTGTCTATCACACACCGATCGCACTGGTGACTACCTTTTCAAAATGTTGGATTACTTCACGGAAAAGTACCGTGACCACGTCAGCTGTTACAATATAACTTTATTCCTGCTTATTGTATGTCAACGAACACCAAGAACGGTGGGTGACCTTTTCTGTTTTTTCCTAAATCTTGGTGAGAATATGAATAATGGTAGTTCCACTACTGTCGCTCAGGCCATTCAAAAGGAATCCACACAAATACCATGGAGCAATGGTTACAAAAACATCACTGAAGCAGCCAAGAAACTAGGTGAAGAACATCCCGAGGACCACGAATCCGAAGAAAATGCCAACCTTAACACCCTCCGTTACAGTGATTGTGGTGGCGAAACCTGTGGCCAATACCTCGACCCCCTGTCATTCGTTATCTATTCCAACATCTCCGTAGTTTTCGCTGGAACGTATTTGAAATGGATAATTTATCTCACACACGCTTTGAAAGAAGGTCTTGAAGAGTTACATAAGGATTTCCAAAAACTCAAATGTGACCATGGTAAACAAAGGAAATGCTCCACCGGTTGTCATGGCAAGGACGAATGTCAATGCACTTTCGTCGAATGCAGCGAAGTCCTTGGTCTCTTATACAGCTACGGCCTCCATTACTATTATCCAGAAGAGTTGCATAGTAGCACCAAGAAAAAACGCACCTGCGCACAATTCTCCACGGAACTGAAAAATCTCCTCGACGTAACTAAAAAAGGCAAACCATTCAGCGACCTCCTTTCAGCCATCAACCTCTTCGTCACCTTCTGGCTACTCACCATCATCTACCTAACATACTCTCTCACAATACCACTCGACGTTCTACACCTACGTTCTACACCTACGCACTGCCGTGCTCTCTCCACAACTACTACTCACCAACTACACACAACCACATGACATCACATACTTCAAACCGTAATGTAACACTCACTCTATTCGACACCTCACCTATTCACTCCACTACCAACTATACCTCTTCACCTTCTGGCTACTCGTCATCATCTACCTAACATACTCACTAACAATACCACTCGACGTTCTACACCTACGTTCACACCTACGCACTGCCGTGCTCACACCACTAGTACTACTTACCAACTACACACAACCACATAACATCACATACTCACTCCACTACTACCATCAATCATATAACTACAAGCTCCTCTCAGTAATCAACCTCTTCGTCACCTTCTGGCTACTCACCATCACCTACCTAACATACTCACTAACAATACCACTCGACGTTCTACACCTACAATCACACCTACGTACTGCCGTGCTATCACCACTACTACTACTTACCAACTACACACAACCACATGATATCACCTACTCACACCACTACTACCATCCATCATATAACTACAACCTTCTCTCAGTCATCAACCACTTCGTCACCTTCTGCCTACTCGCCATCACCTACCTAACATACACACTAACAATACCACTCGACGTACTACACCTACGGTCACACCTACGAACTGCCGTGCTCACACCACTTGTACTACTCACCAACTATACACAAACAAATGACATCACATATTGCATACCGTAATCTAATATTCACTCTATTCGACACCTCACC